CTTGGAAGCAGCAAAATAAATCTTATGCTATATCGGTTTTTTCAAGCACGTGTAAGCCATACTCACCATAATAAACTGCAACTTGCATACAAGTTTTTTATTCAAACAAAAATTTCATGAAATTGATTTAATTACGGGTGATTTCCGCATTACCGCTTACTCGGGATATCATCCGAAGCGAGAGGATGGACAACAACTATCGTTATTTAGAAAATTTTTATCACGTAATTCAAAAACAGAGTCTTGTAAAAAATGTCTCTCCATATAATATAAAAGAGCAAAATAAAAAAGTGAAGTTCAAATAAAAATAGTAACTAAATCAATTGCTAAGGCAATACCATCCCCTCATAAAATTTCATTAAAAAAAAATAAAGCATAGAAAAATGTAATACTTGAGATTTTAGTATATGAAGAGGTCGTAGCTCTTCTTGCAAAACTCCGATCTTTCAAATACAGGAAGAGGGGGTGGAGTTTATATTCATGATTCTCACAGTCCAAGCTAGAAAATGGGCCGGGCAGAAAAGGCTCATTAGTCGTTTATAAATAAAAGCGTCGCGCTATATAAGTGCGACTGGAGTCGGCAATCCCTGCGAATGATAGAATGGAGGTAACAAGGATGATGCCCTATTCTAGAAAATCGAGAAATCAATGAAAACGCATTAAGATTTATTACTATTGAGAAATTGCATAATGACGAGCCAGAAATATTTCAACCATATGTTGACTGACTATTCATTATAATAGATAGTAAGTATGGGTTATATCTATGTAATTACATTAGTACTTTTAAATATGTATAATTTTTCATCATAAAACACACGGTTCTGAAGAATCAGTAATATCATATTATTAAATAGAAGATTTCATTTATTCTTTTTTTCAATTTTTACAGTTAATTTTTATCTGTATGGGTTTTAATCAATTGAAATGTAATTGAGTAATTGGACATTTTGTGGAATAAACATGTGATACATAGTAAATTAATATCTTGGTTAAAGATGTAAATAACATTACACATTCCCTTGATCAAGTCAACTGAAACTCGCGTATAATTTATTCAAATGACCTAATTTATGTAATACTTAATTAATTTAATCTAATAAATATCTGTATAAATTATCTCCATTATGGTCACTTCTTATTATTAGTGACATGCTACAATAAGCTGATATACAACTACTTTTTTATTTCAAAACTTCTTCTAAATTTCGATTTTTAGACAAGCGGAAATGTAAGTTCCTTTTAATTGAAGTAGAATTTAATTAAAGTATCTTTACAGTTATAAATTTAATGAAAATTTGAATTATTAATCAGCAAAATTGAAAGGACAGATAATATTATAAGTCATTTCTTGGATATATTTATTTTATTCAACTATTATAATATTTGCATATACATTTTTTGTTTTTCTTTATTTTTCTTTATTTTATTTATTTAAATTATATGCTTATTTTTTTTATCACAATTACAAAAAATTTGTGTACATAAATTTTATCATTAATCTGATATTAAAGCTTATATAATCAAGAAATGAATATTGTAATTCTCTATATTTTCTAATTATGTATAACTCACGCGACACTTCCGTGTTCTATTTATGTGGTTCAAGAAATATATAGAAAGTGTTTACTTAAATAATTTTAAGGACGAAATATACTTGAAGTTTTAAATTGTCTCCTACGGTATTACATTTATTAAAATTTTTTAAATTAACTTAAAGAGAATAGTATTGTAAATAACTATTAAAAAATCCGTCATTTGTTTTACATTGGTCTAAAATACTAAAAATCTAATATCAAAATCTACTGTCTACTATATATATAAATCTACTATAAAAAAAAAAGCAATTAATAATACGATGTTATTCGAAAATAATTGATCTCTCATAATTTCTATATAAAGTAATAAAAAAGATCAATGTAAAGAATAAAAGGAAAGTTCAATCTTGCATAGTTTCGGCTTTCTCGCTTCTCCCTTTCTGATGCCTCGTTACGCCCCTATTTCCTTGTCTCTGGCTTTTATTAAACAAAAAAAATTAGTGAATCGACCGAAACGACATTCGAGATTAATTCTGTACCAAAGAGTGTCCATTTAAAAAATGTACATAGTAGAAAGGTCATAATAATCAGATGTATTGTCTTCTTATAAACTCGGTTGAAAATTCCGACACTGGAAACGGTCATGCATATTCATAAATTTGCAAGTTTAATGTAAAAATCCAATCTTCGCCCACTTGTGGCTTAGATAAGATAACGGCAAAGGTCTACTACCGGGCGTATAAATTTCGCAATGCTCAATCTTTATTTGCGTGATAATAGGCGCTCACACACTTTGCGACTTACTTTTGTATGAAGAAAAGAAAAGGTCTCACTTCCTTGCGACCCCTTCCTCTCTATTAACTTTATCTCTTTTTTTATTAGATTCCCGATAACAATCGGCTATAATTGATACACCGATAATTCCTTTATTGGTAATTCTATGCTTATTTACTGGTATATTCTATCCTTGGATAGGTACCTATTTTACTACTGAAACTTTTAATATTAAAAAAATTAGACTGAACAGCCAGTAAATTTATTGCTATCGGATGATTCTCTCCCTTACTATATTTATGACTGTTCCTTATACGAATTAATTCTTATTTAGTATTGAGGCAATCGTAAATATCTAAATATTAAGGTATATTTGTTAGCATTAACATATTTATACGAAAGAATAACAAATGAATAAAAATGACTAAACTTGAAAAATGTAATTAATGCATTTTATATTGGCAAGTGTAGGCTTAGTAAGGTGTTTATTTCGAAATTTCTCTTTAAACAATCTCATCGTCTTATAACATATTATTGTATATTACATTCTCAAGTAACATTGAAGCTCACGAACGAACTCACGTTTCATCAATTATAATTTTGACAGTCTGACCATCTTGGGTTTTATCAAAATCAAATACCTTAAAAAAAGTTTGTAGCATCGAAATAAAAAATAAAATATTAGTAATAATATATGCAGACTCATTCATGGAAAGAAACTAATTACTTATCTCTTTCGTTTACTTACGAAACTGTACAAAATTAATTTGAATGTAATAAGAATTCTTTATTGTTTACTGTTTATTTGTCCAAGTAATTTATGTTATTAATATTTTTATTTTTATGCATTTTATTTTTATGTATCAAGAATTATTTCTTTTTCATTACCATTAATCACATTGATACTTTTATTGTTAATAGTAAAACCATTTTTATTTGATGTTCATTTCATGTCTCTCTCCTACAGTTTTACATAATTTTATTTTAATAATACCAATAATGTATCATTTATGACATATCAACAGGCAATGAAGCTCAACCAAATTTTTATTATTCAGCTCTTTCTTTAGTTCTATAGGCGATACACATATAATAGTCCGTCACATGGAATTAATTTGGATATCTCGTACGACGCATAGATGCAATCGATTAATAAATATTTATGAACTTTTAAAATCAGCCTCGACTTTACATGTGGTTTAATATCGTATATTGTATAAGTGTAGCGCCGCTTGTAATGCATATTTCTCTCGCCACTCAACTCGGTTTCCTTATTAATTCATATTCAAATTCATGCGGTTATTCGCATTAATGACATCGCGAATCATATGGTATACAATTTTATGCAATTTTTTTTCCTTTGTCGACACTGCTTACTTAATAATGACTGTTATTTCATATCGCGATCATATTTAAAAGCTAATAAATTAGCTTATTAATAAAGTATTTAATCATTATGATTAAGAATCATGCGAATTTTTGCACATGATATCTACAAAGTTTGATTAGCTGTGTTTTATCGATGTATTACTTTCGCTGCGTATTGTTCGCATAGATGAAATATTGACATATTGACAAACAATCTTTATAATTGCTTACATAAATGATTAAAACTATCTATATCATTATCATATTTCTTCTATGTAGATATTTATATTAAAAATTTTTAATATTTTGTTAATAATCTTACGTAAAGTCATCAAATTATTAATAAATATATAAAATTTATCAAATATAATTAAATTAATATTTACTATTTCATTTTTTTCTTATTATCTATACTGAAATTATACTTAAAAATTATTATTTTTCTTCTATTTCAATTATAATTATTTTGAAGAGACTCCTTTAATATTACTGTATTCAAGGCAAACTTCTGTATACTCTAATAATTTTACGAATAATTTTACGGAATAAGTGTATCAAATTATAGGTAAAAAAATCTTTTATATAACACCTCTTTATAATAATATTTAATATAAATCTCACATAATGAATTTATTCCAATGTTCATCATTTAATTTAAAAATCAATTCAAATGTAATAAAAATACAAGAAATCATTGGGGAAAAAAATAGTATTTAAAAATAACTTCTTTGCAAAAAAGTAAAATTTTTTTATGCTATAAGCCTATATTAAATCATAACACATATATTCATGTTATATTCATATAGATTTATAGAAAACATATGTATTTACATTGATTTATATGTATTTCAAGTAGTTTTAAAATATATATTTATCAATATATGTATTAGAATTCTAAGATAACGAAAATTTGAAAATTTATTAAATATTTGTAAATGGTTTAAAAATTCTAATAACATGTTTATTTGGCCTATAATAAAAAAGTGTATTACCAGTTTGGTAAATACATTCATAATACCATACTTCTATAGTAAATTATATAATCTTTCACTTAATTTTTTCACATAAAATTCACAATTACTAATGACATTCTTGCAAGTATAATAATTGTTTACCAGAATAGTCCTTTATATTGGTGGAAAGTAATGTACAATCGTTACATTCAAAAGTGAAAAGCACATTGTCAGAGGTCCTCGATATTCGCACTTTGCTCATAGTACTTCTCACGATTCGCAGCGTCTGTTGTCGAATAACTTGACCACCCATTCCCTGTGACTATAAGTACAAAGGTTATCCGATGGTATTTCTTTATGTCCTTAGGAGAACGGCTGTCTGTACTCACACATAAGATGGGGCGAGGCCTTCGTCATCGTGTACAGCGTGACGTGCAAGCGAAGTTTCCAGGAGGCGCGAGGACTTCTCGAGCAACTCGCCGATTTTCGTCTGCCTTCGTACTTCACCGCCCTGCTACTTGGCAACAAACGCGACCTCGATCATGCTCGGTGAGTGGCACTTAAGTATCAAGCTACTTTACCCTGCCTCAACCCCCACGTTCCTCTCGCAGCCGCACCCCTGTAGTCAAACGATGTGCAATCGATATGGTGCTGAGCGAGACTTCTAATCCTGGATATAGACTAGACAAAAAGAGAAATGCTTGGGAGGGAAGCTGAGAGAGCTTGAGCGATATGTTTAGAGGGCCGATTAAGTGTGAGACATTGCTGGTTCGCTTTGAGGCCTACTGCCATGTGAAATCGACGATTCAGGATTCGAAGTCTAACTTCATTGTTTGCTCTGTGAAAGTTGTTTCGAATTAAAACAAGCTCTCTGTTAGCCTTTTATACTATATATTATCTTTATTATGCCATTTTCATACAATAGAAATTTTAAAAAAGTTCCTAGTTGGTCAGGCGGGCTATACAATCGAAGTAAACATTTCGAAAAAGTCATTGCAAATAAATGAAAGAAAAATGCTTTATCTATCATATTCAGTGGTAATATTTATTACAGAAATGTACGAACGTACTACTTTGTTTAATTTATATTTCTTATCACAGCTTACCATCGCCGAAAAATTTATTCGATAATTTCAACGGTATGAAAAATTTTAATATTACATACCAACACAAGTTCAAAGAGAGCAAGATTCTGGTGAGTTTGAATCAGAGATATATCAAAATGACTCATTTAATTTATTTTAATAATAATTGTAATTTATTTGACTTATATATACATGTAAATTATATATATATATATATATATATATATATATATATAAATTAATTTAAAAAATCTTAAATAATCGAAATATAAAAATACTCTTTTATATTTTATTTTTGTTTATAAAGCAAATTATTTGAAATATAGTTTATCCTATTTTTCAATTCATACATAAAAAGATTTTTATAAATATATTATTTTTATTAATAATGTTGTTAAAATACAAATTTTTCTTTTAATAATGGTAAAAATCTATACTCGTTCTTTTGTCTAACTACTTACTGACTAGCTGAGAAATTTTAAATTATCAAGAAAGTATATTTATAAATTAGTACAATATTATATTCACTCATCTTTAAAGAATATTAATCTCCGCTATTCTACACTTTTCATTAGGTATTAGTTACATTTATAATAAAAAATTTCTGATTATCTGTCTCAACTGTATTCCGTCTCTCTCTCTCTCTCTCTCTCCTTTCTCTCCTTTCTCTTCAACAGTGTCCAATTACCTTGTTTTTCTTAGGAAACCATTATAAAAGATTATTTTCTTGTTATAGAATATTATTAATATATTGTTTAGAATTTTTATACGTATTTTCTTGAAAATATTTTCTTAGATTGTAGTTAGTATCTTGTCAATTTTGATATTCTAGAAGAAATATAGGTTCATTTTTTCGCAATGTTGAAACTTGCTAAAAAAATTTGATTTCTAAAGTAAATTTAAGGCTAACACAACCTTTTATATGTACTGTGGATCGTGTATAGAGATTGATAAAGATGATTCCTTGAACTTACCGTGGTCTTCCCATACTTTGATATACAAGACTCGGGTGCTACTTTAAAAACAAAGACAAGGCAAAGAGGAGATAGACCAAGCAAGAAACACAGAGAGAGAGAGAGAGAGAGAGAGAGAGAGAGAGAGAGAGAG